CCGAATTTTTTTTTTTTTTTCCTTTTTTACTTTCTCATCTACTTCCTTACCATATTCTTCCAAAAGTCTTGATTTAAATTAAAAGAAATTAGGTTTTTTTGTTATATTTCAGTAAGAACTCAAATTTAGGAATTGTTTCATCATATTTCATACTTGTTTTGAAATTCAAAAGTTTTTTTTTTTTTTTTTTTTAACTCCGAAATTTCAGTCTGAAATCCAAAATATCATTCTGATATGTATTTCTTTTATCAAAAAAGTTTTTATGTGTCTGTTTGAAATGCCCTATGGATTTGTTAGTTATTTTGCAAAAAAATATCTTTATTTTCTTTAAAATGTATGTCACATTATAGTTAGTTTAATTAATATCCCTACAACATATGTATAATTTAGGAGTGTTAATTGATCTGATTTGGGTTAGTATGGGTTTTTGAAAGAAATATTCACCCGAAACTCTATTAAGCTATGGGTTAATTGGATCCAGGTTAATAATAAAACAACCATATTTACAATACTTATGTTGTAGCTGTGCTTTGGGTTTTAGGATAATTAATGTTAATAACACCGGTCAATGCATAAGTTCTCTCGCAAAAAGAATATTAATATTCAATAGGGATTCATTGGGATCACACTATCCAGTAAAAGGAATTCAAAAGAACATATCATATCATGCAATACTTGAAACAACACTTCTAGTAATTGGAATGCATAATAAGGAAAAACAGAACCAAACACACATAAACGAGTATGTGCTTCAAGAATTAAAGACCAGCTTTACAATTATAATGGGAAATAAACGTATATACACACATAATCCAATATTTTAACTATTATAAACACTCATGTAATAAAAAAATAAAGTGAAAATACAAGGAATCAATCATTATGATGTAACAAAATATTAAGTAGGAATTTGATTATTCAGCGTATAGAGGCCAACTATACAACATAAATGCAACATTTAGCCGTGTAAGGTGCTGTTTGTTTTTTGGAAAAAACATCTTCAGATCTTTTATTGTTGGGCAGCGCAACACACGCCCAACACTTTTCATCTCGCAGCTATTTATTTTTCAGAAGTCTTCAGATTAAAAAACTTTTGCGCATGTTCTTCTTGGCGCAACACTTGTTTGGCCTCTTTCTACTTCTTCCAACCTCTTCTTCTTCTTCTTTTTCTTGCTAAAATATTGATTATATATTTATGAAATTTTATTTCACTTTTTTTTTATTTTATTTTATTTTTTTGTTTATTCTTGTTGAATTATTTTTCCTTTTTTAATATTGAATAATAATAATTTGTTGATTAAAATCATTATTTTATGCTAAAATATCATTATTTTTTGTTAAAACATCATTATTTTTGTTGAAATATCATAAATTTTTACCGAAATGTTATATATTATTAAATTTTTGGTATTAAAAAACAATTTTCAGATTATAAAATCACTTTATTTTAATTTTTTAATATCTACAGCAGCATGCAGATGTTAAAAAAACAAATACACTTCTTATTACAGTCTGCAGCCGTTTGGTCTACATCTTCTACTATAGAAGGTTGTAGAGGTGGTTCACAAACTTTATGGATTTTTGCTTCAAAAAAACAAACAACATCTAAATCTTTCACATACCTTGTAAGTATCATCAATCTTTATAACAACATATCAATTGTTATATTAATACTATTAGTAGGGTTTAAAGATACATGAAATATAGAAAATCTGAGTAATCTGTAATAAGAAATGAGGCAATAAACAACAAGAAAATTCAACTTCTTTGTTTTCCTAATATAAATGATGATTCTCATATTTCTATCATTCATGTATCTTTTAAAGAAAACAGTAGAAATAAACAGGGAAAGCATATAGTACATGGAAATACCAAAGTTGGATTTGATTTATTCCCAGTAGAAATCAAAACTGACTTTTGGATCTTTAATTCGATACATCTGCTGAAGAAAGCATGTAGTTAGTGAATAATGATTCAACTATTCTAAGTCTTGTCCAAACTAAGACAATCAATCATCAACACATGATAAACTTATTGATTATGATAATATCTTTGCAACTGATTAATCTCTTTAATCGCTGATAAAATGTTGGAAAATGAATATTATTCTTGGTTTCATACCCTAATTTAGGGGGGAAACAGAATCAAACATTTGGAGCCTTCTTGGCATCTATACAGATGGATGGAAAACGTTATAAGATGTCTTCAAGTAACTCTCTAGACAACATCAATTCTTCCAACGCATCCATTAGCAGTAGCAAGAGGAGTTCAAAAAGACATACAACATCCGACTCCAACCACACAACATCTTCGGATGCTCCTTTCGGAGTGGATGTCAAGCCGATGGGAATGGATAAATAAAGCCAAAATAAAGAGAAAAGCCACATCATCAAGTTCTTCGGATGCCATCCCTTTTGATAAAAATGAAATACAATATTTAAGGTCGAAGTTAGCCGCCTTAAATACGGATTTTAAAAATTAAGCTTACAATAAAGTAAACGTGCAAAGGAAAGATACAACGATATGAAATTGTTAATGCAAAATACGAGTCATCTATTCGGATAGGATCTTGAAACGACTTGGGCAGTAAAAATTGCAATCAGAGAAAAATATAAATTGTAATTTTTAATCATACTTATTTATTGTTATGTTTTAAATGTTTTAATTCGTTATTATGTAATCCTGAATTGTAATTAATTGAATTTTAAGTTTTTAAGCTAAATGAAATGGAAGACCTTGAGTTCAAAGTGAATTTGTATTTATCTGTATCATCGACACATATTTCTTTAACAAATTGAAAACTTATTCTCTATACCAATGATTCTTATAAGTAACAATAACATTGTACTTTCTTTCACATTAATAATTGGATTTAGAGAGCTTACGACAAAATAACATACTTTCATCCTTCCTATCCTTTTCACATGGTTAGGTAGTTGGATTTTTTATTTTTTTACAATTGCATTATATATCTATATTTTTTGAATGTAGATTATCAATTTAATATGAAGATTAATAGATTAACAACGATTTTTAGGTTTCATTTTATTTCATACTACGTAAGTGTCGTCTTACGTCATTAAAAATTGTTTTCGGTAACTATCTTTAAACAAGATAGATAATAGTTTTATAAGAAACAAAACAAAAAATGAGAGATTTTTGTTAAAGGATACAATGTAAAATGGGTTGTAAACTTGTAATAGATAAATTCACTCACCTCCAACGTGGCCTGTTAAGCCCAGTTGCTTATAGCAAATTAAAAACAATCGTTAAGCCCAGTTGTTTATAACAAATCAAAAAAATCGCCATAAGTTATTAAAAAGACAAAACTGGACTATTGGTTGTGTAAATTGCCATTTTTAGAGAAATTGAACTTACATTACACAACCAAATCAAAAAAAATTAAAACACAAAAAGAACCTTAAATTGATATATAGCCAAGCTTCCAAAAAAAGTTGAAAATGTAGGGTTTCGGTGAACACTTAAAGTCCATTTTCACATGTTAAAAAACTCATCCACTTGAAATAACCGGTTATATTGTCAAGTAAGCATTATATGGAATTAGGTGGCACAAGATGGCATTATGAAGGCCACATTTGAAGAAAAAGGATCCATTGCAGTTTTCCAACAAAATCTGAAAGTTTTCCTTGATAGAATTTCAAAGCTTCTTCTAACTCATTAAAATATTTGAATTCTTTCATCTCAAGACACCAATATATTTTCTCTTTAATTCATCTCCCCTACAAATCATCTTGCCTTAAATCTCATATCCTCTCGCGATGAGCTTCCCCTTTTGCAATTAGAAATGAATGCGAGTAAAACGATGTTAAAAATATAGATTAAGTTTTCATGTGGGATTTCCAAGGGGATTTAGGTTAAATCGGAAATCCATGAAGTAGTTGGAGGAATGAAAGAGGCTCCCAAACACATTACCATATTTCAATTCCAGTCATTAAGATTGATGGATGTTTCTGAAGAGAATTGACAAAGTATTTCACGAACTTCTACTTCTCACCGTTGAAAAGAAAATCGCTCGTCAAAATGTTAGCAATCTCCGATTCCAGAGAATCCTCCTCAGAAATGGATGCAGGTTTTCAAGCATTATCTTAGGATTTTCTACATCTCAAAGAAGAACAACACAGTAGCGGTTGTTCTCTAGGAATCAATATATTTTATTAATAACACAAATCAAATATGTGATGGTATATGTTATTCACATATGAATTACATATATAAATTATATCCATATATAATATACCATGTGATATTCACATGTAAATAAACATTATGTGAGTATATTATACTAACTAAATATATTATGTAATTTTCATATGTAAATATACAATACAAACAAAATATACTTTTTAATATTCATATGTGAGTATACATTTACACACGAGTCAATATATGTTAATTAATTGCATAGAACAAAGATGTAATTTTATGTGTTATTCACATGTGAATAAAATATAAAAAATACAAACAGAAGCATATGGAATGTTTCATCATACGACTAATTTGAAGTGAACATAAGATAACTTATACAACTAAGGTAAAAATATTCACTATAAATACAAAATATAAGAAAACATTGTCATCATCATATTGCAATTTATAATCTTATGTGAATACGTGAATAACATATAGCGATGCAAGATTATATGTTATTTATATGTGACCAACATAAAAAAAATAATAAAACAAAAAAATACGAACGTAACTCTATTAAGTATTTCATCAAATAGTTTGAATGTACACTCGTTAACTGATATAACTATTGTAAAATCTTTATACAAAATACAAACAATTTATCTAGAACTAGAAGATTAATAATTGAAAATCTGGATTTTTTTTTTTAATGAAAAACAATATTGTGATCAAATAAATTAACTTTGAGGTCCAGTTTGTTAGCTTTAACAATATTCTGCTTTTTCTTGCCATCTTTTCGTAATATTGGGGGTCTAAATGATAATTCCTCTACAAATGAAGTAAACCCATGCCAATCTTCCCGTATTTCAAACTCAAGAACAGAGAATTATGATCTGAACTTCTGAATTGCATCCATCTTATGCATTTGCTCTCTGGGATTCCAAAATCTGGACCATGATCTTCTGATAGGTAAATTCAGATCTCGATTTTCGAAATCCCCATCGATAATTGACTGCAATTTCTTCTTTTCGGGAGATCACTGTGGGCTGAATTTCTCTTGTAGCCCAGCTAATTGGGTTCTGTTAGAATGTCCCTTGGGATCCGAAACTTCTAACTTTCTTTACTCAGATCTCCATTCTGGTTTCGTTACCGATGCATTTTCTTGATTTCGTTCTTTAATTTTTTTTAACTAGTCGTATGCATCGAGATCCCAATTTGTGAACCTAATTTTATATTATCAGTCGTCGTCTAGGCATGCTTTGATTGACACCGATAATGATAAATTATCAATTTGCCTCAGATAGTCCGAAGTCCTTTAATGCGTACCCTAGAGGTGATTTTGATTTAGAGTCGAACGCCGTTATTAGAAAAGCAAGAAAGCCCAAACATTCGTCATTTCATCCTATTATAATGATTAAATCTTTCGGAAATCGAATTATGTACTACTACAAGTTACACCCTGTGATGGTATTGCTGATTTTCCTGTCATTTGGAGTCACAACTCTCATAGTTCTTTCACTCTATACTAGCCATTTTCAGACGATGAGTAATTATAGGAAGTTTGACACCAGTCTGGATAATGCATATCCATTTCCAAAGCTTCGTAATCTTGTGATGGTTGCTGGGCATTCTATATATACAAGTAGTAGTTGTGAGAAAATTGATAAGGAGGATTCTTGGTTTTTGGAATCATATCAGAAGAATCCAGGACAAGCTTCTACTTTTGTTGCACATATAAAGGAAGGAATTGAGATTGCAGCCAAAGATGATGATGCTTTGTTGCTGTTTAGTGGTGGAGAGACCCGTAAAGATGCAGGACCACGAAGTGAGGCACAAAGTTATTGGATAGTTGCTGACTCAAAAGGATGGTTTGGTGAGTTTTTATAGCTTTTTCTTTTATTGCATTAATCTAATATGGTATGTAGATGAAAAGTAAATTTAATTTTGAAGATATACTCTCTTAAAACTAGTGAAAGGCCACCACTATGACACTATCTAGTTTAGTGTTTGTTATTTTCATCAAATTTTGATAGTATCTTGTTAGTTGTGAGCAACTGAGCAGACAATGCAGTGGTAGTTTATTGATCTGTATCCAGGGGGTGTGTTTGGATCTACTTATTCAAACTGATTATTGTGACTTGAATAATTAGAATAATTTAGAATCAATCGAATAAAGCTAGGGATATATAGGTAATCTTACGTTTATCAATATGATCAGTAAAGAGTTTTATTACTGCAACTTCTTACATGCTTCTCCGTTGATTAGTTTTGTCTTAAATAATCAAAAAGTTAGGATCAAAATCATTTTTAACCAAACACTTAACTGGTTATCGCAACTCAGTTTAAACCTACATCCAAACACCCCTATGTCTTAGCATTGTTCATCTTCATCAAACGCACACACAAACAAGTTAATCTTCACAAAATAAATGGCTCATAAATAATCATATGATTAAAGTTAGGGACAGTTTTCTTGCAGCAATGTGCAGTTGAGAATGAATTATTACCAATTACTACTTTTCTTGATATGTAGAAACTTAAACTGCTTACATCTTAACATCTTTCCCAATGATTGTACTTATACTTATGCTAGAATTATTGACACAAACACAGGCAACCGGGAGAAGGTAAGATGGAAAGCACTCACAGAAGAACACGCAAGAGACAGCTTTGAGAATCTTCTCTTTAGTGTATGCCGATTCCGTGAACTTACCGGATCTTATCCACAAAATATCACTGTATGTTCCTTTCTCATTCTTGTTGACTTAATGGAGGACTTAATGGGGACATGACTTAAATCTATATGTAAATGTAGGTTGTGGGATATGATTTCAAGAAAGAAAGATTTGTTAATTTACACAGATCAGCAATTGGGTTCCCAGAGTCACGATTCTTCTATATGGGGACACCAGCAGCAACAACATCAAAAGAAGCAGCATTAAAAGGGGAGGCATTAGTCAGGACACAATTCCAAAATGACCCTTACTCATGTTTGGGCTCACTTCGTCGCAAAAAGATCGGGCGTGACCCGTTTCACCGGTCAATCCCTTACCCGAATGGCTGCCCGGAAATTGAAGGGTTGTTCAGATACTGTGGAGGTGCATTCTATCCGGGTTCTGTTCCTTGGGCTTGAGAAAAGTGATTATATACATAATTGCCTCTTTTTTTTTTTTGTTTCATATTATTTTAGGATTGTATGATTTTGAAGCGATATGAAATAGATGCATTTGATATATATATATATATATATATATATATATATATATATATATATAGATATGTGATAGAACTTACTCAGGGTAATCATTAGTTAATGCGCAAATTGATGAAATGTAAAATTTTCATTATTGTTTTATGAACATGAAATACTTGGAAGATTTCAAACATGCATACAGGAATTACAAAGACATCATAATTTAGTTTATTGGAACAAATTGTGTATTATTTTCATGAAGAAAAAGGGCAACTTGAAGACCCCTCAGCTGTGATTGAATCTCCACCACCTTTGGTCAGACCTGCAAGAAGCTCTCCTCTGTCGTAGAAGAACTCCACCTTCATCACCTTCAACTCTTCATCCAACTGTAAAACATTTCCAAAATGATTCAACTCAAGAATCCCTAATAAGAGAATCAGATTTCTTTATTTGATTTTGGTATCTTTATTTTAGGCGCTGTCTCTTTATAAGCAAAAACAAAGGATAAAATGGTCATTTAGTATGATTCATATGGCTTATTTTAGTGTTTTTTTTTTTTTTCTAGAAATAAAATTTAGTCTAGGAAAATTAGACTTTCTTCATTTACAAATTTTTTCCTTTCAAAAGCGTATTGGTATTGTTAGTTTCTTATAAATATCTAATTGAGATTCAGTATATGCTTCACCTCCATTATGGAGACACCAAACATTTCTACGATTTCTCCCGTAGGCGGGTGACCTTTGAATGGGCCTTCCATGTAACCCCAATGCCTGAATTTATACGCAATCACTGGTGGGCCTGAGTAAACCTGAAGAACCTCCACTGCAAAACCACGAGGAAAGGTGGTGGTGAAGAGCTTGTGGGCTGTATCCACAGTTTCATCGGTAGGATTATACAAACGTAGCTTTTCAGGCAATGAGGTTTGAAGAAACATATTGTATCCTCCACCAATATTGGCCACATCTTGCGGTGTCATTGGTTTCCTACCTGGAAACAAATCCGCATGATGTTAGCAGTTGTTTATATAAACACAGTTTGAACTCAAGCTATGTGTTAATCTCTTCGTCAAACTACCGTTAACAGAAGTTGTTAACTTTGTGACGTCACACGTTTTGAAATCTTTGGGATTCAGTTTGTGGAATATCTCCATTTCCCATGTTTTCACAAGATTCTGAACTTGCTCTTCCAATGAACCTGTGGGCCATATCTAACCATCCAAACTACACAACATCAGTTTAACGAACTCCAACCTTTTAGTTTATACATTATTGATTTACTTTCATAATTTTCTAATTTAGTTATTTAGTTATGGTTCTTGTTTTTTTTTTCTTTGAGAACTGTTCAAATGTTAAAATACAATCAGGAAAACATTTTGTCACCATTTTATCTATCTAGCAAATTAATTATTATATTTTAGGGGTTATTATAATAATAATAATTTAGTGGTTGAATCGATAAAAATAATGATCTTGCCCATATATCAATGCCGACTAACCAAGAAAATGGTTTTTTACAAGGTCAACATATTGATCTAATCATGATAGAAAATACTTAATGGCAATCAATAAAATTTTGAAAGAACACTTTTTTTGTAACAAATATGAGAAGGCATGCAACTTTAACTTTAACTTTATGTTTATATAATATTATTATTTTAATGGTATTTTGTGAATAAAACGGAAAATAGTTTCTTATCCATTTATGATATTGGTTGTTTAAACAAGAAAGTAAGTAGGGGTAGAAGGATTTAAAAACCTTTGTTCTTCCTGCTTCAAAAAGCTTGTTGACCACATCAAAGTTAGGGGGAACACCCAACTTCCAAGTGGTGTTCTTCTCACCTTCTCCACTCATGAAACATCTGTACTTATCCACATCTGAACCTTTGTATTGATCCATCCTTTTGTGTTTGTTGATTTGTTGATTTGTTGATTGAACAAAATATGATCTTGGTTTATATATATAGCAACTGGAAAAGGGGTGTTTGGAGAAAGGTAGTGGTGGCTATGGGGAGTTGGTAAGAGTCCCATATCTATACTATTTGAAATGATTTCTTTATTGTTCCCTAAATTAAATTATTATGATTATAGGGGAATAAAAACAAATATACTATTATTATTAATTCTATCTTTAAATCTGTCATCAAGTTTATTATAGATTTAAATAGAAGAGAGTTGAGTAACAAGTGATTAGAGTTAATTTGATAAATGAGCAGCAAATATATATGTTTTTGTTTACAAATTCCATTAAAAATCTTTAACATAATGGTATTCTATGAATACAAAGTTCTATTATTTAATTTTATGATGTTACTTTTTTATTTAAAACGATCATGTTTTAAGATGGATAGGTTGTCATAAATAGTTAGCATATCAAATATGTAAGTAATTTAATATACTTTAATTTAGATGATTTCTAAACTGTTTAATTTGTTTTCAGTTGACTTTCTTTTATCTGTATCACTGTATGTCGCTTTCCTTATAAAATATATATTGTATTTTAATTTTTTTTAGCCTTATGGCTGCTCAATTAACTTTTAAGGCCCAACGTAACTTTTGACTTCAATTTTGTTCCTCGAGTGAATATTCTTCGGCAAAACACAAAATCATAACTTCTTTTATTTTGACTATCATTTGATAATAACACAACTTGTATGTACAACAAATATATATATATATATATATATATATATATATATATATATATATATATATATATATATATATATATATATATATATACTCGCGCAAAACAGCGAACGACAAATAGTTTGTTTCGACAATTAATTTTTTTTCGATAGATAATGATTATTTTCAATTCAATCATTAGTCTGTTTTAAAAAACATATCATATTATAAATAAAGAAAATTCATAAAATGACCAAATTATAGGGTATTGAGTATTTATTTGGATGCAAAAAGATCTAATCAAAACCTTGGAAGAGAAGATTTATAGGAGTTTGTTTAAATTTTAATATTATTTTATTAATGATTAGTTGTACAATTAGCTTAATGATTTGGACGTCTTAAAAAGATATTATTATTTTATTCAATCTATTATTAGAAATAGTAGGATTTGTTTTATAAGATAGTATATATATAGGGTTAGTTTCATGTGAGACGGTCTAATTTTGTGAGACCGTGAGATGCAATATTAGCCACTCATTTTGTAGATAAAAAAAATTAATGCAAAATAATTGAAAATTTTCAGAAAATTTTTTTTTAATATTATTTTCGTAATTTATATTTTCCAATTTTTTTTATAAAAATACTAAAAAAATAAAAATAAATTAAAAAAATACATTTTTTAACATATTCTAGTAGAATACTAGAATATTTTATATATATCTTTACTATCTTGTAAAAGAAATCTAACTATTTCTAAAAATAGATTGATTATAATAATAATATTTTTTTAAGACGTCCAAATGATGAAGCTGATAGTACAAGTAACCATTAATAAAATAATATTAAATTTTAACCACATTTTGAATTCAAATAATTATCATCAAATCTCCTTATATTTCTCAACAATTTGATATGGTTTCCTCAAATCCCGGATTCATTCAAATTTTGAACCATTTTAGATATCCTTAAATTTAACATGTTGATTCAAATATCTCTCCAATCGCATATACCTCTTTGTTCCCTTCTCTGCTATAAAGTCCACCGTCTAGGAACAAAAAATGACTTCATCTCCCAAATAACACCATAGTTTGATTATTTTGTCTTCGACATGTACTTTCATTTGTAACATAACATTTTTGTAGAGGAAACATATCACCGAAAGAATTTACATGCCCCGCCGCTTTGCGCGGGTACGCTGCTAGTATATATATATATATATATATATATATATATATATATATATATATATATATATATATATATATATATATGACAAATCTAGTAGAATATTCTAACATTCTAAAAATCACATTAGAATAGTTACAGTGTAATATTCTATTAGAATATTTCACGTATTTTTCAAAAAAACGGTAATTTTATTTTTTTTAATTTTTTTTAGGTAATTAAAGTGACGAAAATAATAATTAAAAAAAGAATTTTCATATTTTTCTTTTTATTTTGCAATTTAAAAATATTTTTATATTTGATTTTACGGTCTCACAAACTTAAGATAATCTCAAATAAACTTGAATATATATATATATATATATATATATATAATTTACCATCAATATTTAAGAGTATATTTTGAAAGTTTATAACATAAGAGACAAATAGGATTGCCTTTATTGATAATAATTTTGTTATGTGCTAACCAAATCTCTTAGAGTAGTGATAGTGTTCATATAAGAGACAAATATTTATTGATAATAGTTTTTTATGTGCTAACCAAATCTCTTAGACTAGTGATACTGGTCATATGTATGCTAAGTTGTCACATCATTTTTTTGTATGCAAACTAAGCATAACGTGATATTAGGGAGTGACGGTGAGTTTGGTATTGAATTTGGAATAAACAAAAACTAAAATAAAAATGAGTCTCTCTCTCTCTCACTCCCCCCCCCCCCCTAATGAACTGGCAAGTTTGGCTTAGTATGCTCCCTTAACGCACCCTAAGGGATGTTGTATGGCGAGCTTTGTAACATCCTAAAAATACGGTCCGAAAATTTCATTTAAAAACATTAATAAAGAAAACCATAATTCTCAATCATAACATAAATCGTTATATCAAATCAGAGTATCATCTCAAAGCATGTTCTTTTTATCAGAGTAAACATCCCAAGCTAAAACTTATTGGTGTGTGTCATGCAGTTATCCCGAGCTCTTCCCTCCAATACCGGAAGTACCTGAAACCAAAACTGAAAATTGTAAGCACGAAACTTAGTGAGTTCCCCAATTTACCATATACCATACATAATCACCTACCGCAAACATTGAGCCTAAACCGCTATATCGGGACCCGCCTGGCATCGGACGAATCCGGAATCAGGCCTCGTCTAGCATTGAGCCCCGCCCGGTAGACAGATCTGTTTCTACCAGGCCTCGCCTACTACACACATATGACAATAACATATA